TTAGTGACAAAGTTGGAGGTCAAGCGAAAACAAGCGGAAAACAGAAACAAAAACAACGACTTTTAAACAAATAATAAACATTTAAGTTTTTTATTTATTAATAACGTTCTTACTCTTGACCTCCATATTGTATACGTAGTAGAGCCACGCTGCAGCTATTTTATAGTTGTAGCACGAATGGGTCGGCTCGGCAGAATACCAGCGTAAAATAGCATCTTAATGCTGCTGTGTTTCGTATGGTGAGTGTAGAGAACCAGAGACCAGTTTTACTGGAATCGAGGCATTCTATCTTAATCATCAGGGGTGACAACGCTTCTGCATTTTGATTCTTAATCGAGGTTAAATGCAGATATCTATGGGCCACAGCATTCACTTACCACCAGGTGGACCGTGCTCGTTTGTCACCCTTATTCTATTTCGAAAAAACTGGCCCAAAGGTATTTCATCTTAGTCCTCACGGGTGACAACGCATCTGCATTTTGATCCGTAATCGAGGATAGGTGTAGATGTCTTTGGGCCACAGCATCCACTAACCATCAGGTGGACTGTGCGCACATTTGTTACCCTTATTTTTTAAAAAAATATTTAACTTACCCATCCTACGAGTACATTCATACAAAGAGCTTGATAATAAGGGATATAAGAAGTCGCAGAAGCTTGAATTTAAATGACGCATTTTGTATAGTTCTTAACGTGGCATTCTTGGTTTCAATATAGTTATCTAATCATCTGACGGGACGACCCTCTTATCTCATTGATACGCCCGCGTTATAGTTAGGCAAATAGTCTTCTTGATTATTAATCCGTGTATATTCTGGGTATACTGCTGGGTATAGGTCTTTTGAAGGAAGCGTCTGTGGCGACGCTGTCGTCGCGCCACAAGCGAAACACATCGAAGCCTAAATCGTGCCATCAAAGTTCCGAAGCAAAAATAGAATATATATAGAATAGCTCTGAACTATCACACGAGGCGTTGACCGCTCCCCGCGTAGAACACCTTACCCGGCGGGAGTTCTCCCCTTTTCCTCAAGGCCACAGTGGAAGGTTATTGGTTGAGTGTTTACATCACGTCGGGGTCTCCACGACAGCGTCGCCACACCTTTACAGCATACCCAGCACAGGCACAGGCATTTTGGAAAACGTAGAGCGAAATCTAAGGTATTGCTTAGTTTGTCATTTTCGGAGGAAATATGTTGCGGTTGTAAGAAACTTCACCAACCCATATCGTGCCGTGGTCCCATATCGATCGTGACATCTACGACAAATGTCCTTATTACAAGGCACTCTCTTTTACGACTAAAAGTGCGGTTATGCATAGGTTTTATAGAGTAAGGTTTTATGACAAATGAGCACACAGTCTACCTGATGCTAAGTGGTTGCTGTGGCCTATAGACATCTATATCTATCCTTGATTACGGATCAAAATGGAGATGCGTTGTCACCCGTGGGGACTAAGATGGAATGCCTCGTTTCCAGTAAAAAGGGTCTCCGATTCTCTATAATCACCATACGAAACAGCAGGATTAAGCTGCTATTTTACGCTGGTATTCTGTGATATGTTTATTCATTAATATCGTCATTTGTCGGTTGCCATGGACCAGTATACACGGTCTAGCAGGGAGGTTGAGACTTTTGCTAGACGCCCCTATTCACAACAAATAATTTATCTATAACTGGTAATGCTTCGAATTGTTCAAACGAATTTCACCCACTAAGTTAGTTTGTACTGTGCGTTTTACTATCAATTTTTGGTACGCACAATCGCATTGTGGGATTAAATGCACCAGCGATATTCCCGGACCGATATGATCCAACGTGACTTACACGTGGCAGAGCGACGCCGCATCTGTAATATGGATGAAGCACGAATGGGTCGGCTCGACCGGAGTAGGACCACTCTCTACAGAATACCAGCGTAATACTGCCGTTTTGTATGGTGGGTTTAGAGAAACCAAGATCCATTTTATTGGAAATGAGACAGTTCGTCTGTCCTCGGGGTTGACAACGCATCTGCAATTTCATTCTTAATTGAGGGTAAATGTACATGTCTGTGTCACATCATCCACTTAACATCAGGTGAACAGTGTACTCGTATGTCACCTCACTCTATTTTACAAAAAAAAACTCTGGTCCTTTCTAAAAGACCGAAAACGTTTGCAGCTGTTTCAGCTGTTCATGTCTGCTGTACCTAGTTAGTTACTTTCAGGTGAGCCGTATCATCGTTTACCTCCCTTGCCTCTTAAAAACATGTTAAATAAATAAAACGCAGTTTTACTGATTTATTATTTTAATAGTTCATTGTCCAGAATATCAAATGTGTTTATTAATGAATTATATTTTTTCCACTCGTATCAAACAATAATAATTAATAATAACAAACATTGATTACAATTATGACATTACAATAATAATTCAATTTACAAAAATATAAACTTAAGGTCTATTCATTTAAAACAAATGAAGAAGATTATATACAATCGTATTAATCAGAGTGCTCTCAAACATTATCACCTAAAACAGTAGTAGTTGAAGTAACTAATATGTGCTAAGTACCAGAAGAGACGCGGAGACTCTGGGTTGTTTGCAACACGGTTTAGAGCCCGCGGGCTCATTACTTTGTGGCATAAAATGAAAGGTATTCCGTGCCGAGCCCCGCACAGATTATGATCGCGGTGTTTGTAATAATAGTGCGTAGTACCATATTATTTAAATAATTAAAATTAAAATTTTAGTATGTGATAATAAATTTGGAAATTAAAATAAGTTTAATTAAACGCGATAACTCGGTAAAGTCGGGATAGTCGGGATAATAAAATAAGTTTTATTAAATGTGTAGTATTCGTGTAAAAAAAATCATAATGCAGGCGTGAGTGTTATCTGTGGACAACTTTACAAGGAACTTGTGAGCAGTACTTTATTACTTAAAATAATATTAATAATAAATGGTTTAAAAACTTGAGAATTTCACTAAAACAATTTTTAATAAGTAATAGGCATTCAAAAAATTTGACGACAGAAACTTTTGTGTAGAGTATGTTCCACGAAAGAAGTCTACTGCTCATAGACTCAGATCTCTGGACACGTTCGATGTGAGAAATTTATCTTCTTGACGAGAAACTTCAAAACAAAAACAAAAACAACTTCGCCCAATTGTGAAGACTGTGGAGTTATAGAAGACCTACACCATTTATTAATGGAATGTGTTCCATTTGAGTCTCTTGGAAGTAATTCAATAAGGGTCTCGAATTTGAACAGAACGGACGTAGGTACGTACCATAATATTTTATCCCAACCAAATAGCCCACGTAGTATAATGATTAACGTTATTTTAGTAAATGATGTATGTTAGGGTACGATGGAACTGGCATACGGTAAGCGGTGAATGTCCCTTAAATAATTGTAGAATTTAAAAAAAAGGAAAGAAATCTAGTAAAAATATGCGAATCACAACTTCACTGTATGTAATTTAACAGCTAATGCCTAATTTTGACAGTGACACCGCGGCTAACGAAATTCTTTCATGAATGACTCGAGCTTTTGTAATATGCATTTTACGTTATATAAATACGGGTGATATTTGAAAAACCATACTATAATAGTGGAAGGTAATGTGACAATCATTTACCAAATTATAAGCCAACACGCACTGTAGCAGCGGGGCAGACTAACTGTTCCGCTGCTCTTAGAGAAACGTGAGTAAGAGGCATATATTATGTGCTAGCCCCAACAGCAATGTCCTCCAGACCGAATTTCCGTCACGGCGGCCGGTCTCAGCGGATTTCGCAGGACAGGATTACAGTTCCGGCGTATAACGCAAGCTTAGCTGCACTCTCTATTCTCTCACTCTCACACCACGATGGGCAGGTAATACGACACGACCGCAGACAGATTAGGCGCAGAATGGACGTGCTTTTCATGTGGTGTTGCACCGCCAACATCCTGACTCCGGGCTGTTGTTACTAAGAATTTCTTGTCAGGAAAACTCATTAACTGTTTATACGCGACCCGAGACTCGTACCCGGGTTTTCAAAGACCGGCAGATCAGTCGCGTTTACGACCGCTAGAAGAAGCAGTCAATAAAAATTTTAAGGAAAGGATTCAAAGGATTTACCATACACAAATATATCAAAGAAATAAAACGATCACATAACTTGGTAAATTTCTAAATCTGAGCATTTACGTCAATTTGGACCTGAAAAAAAACCGTCAGTCATAATCACTGCAGGTAACAAATGGAAACTTCTTACATTCGCAAACGTTTAAACATTATTTTTGGGTTGTTAAGAAATATTTTTAGGAAGTATTTTTATTGGAAATATTTTTATCAACGTAAGGTCAATGGAGGCTATTGCAACTATGGGGCTAAAGCAACCAAGAGCGATATCTTCTATTCTATGTTTTTTTTAAATACAATGTCATCTATTGGCATGGAGAAAAATCATAGTTTAACGTATCATAAACAGATGGCATCACTTGGATCGAAACTGTTTGATTTACCAGAGCTTTTATGTTAGTCGCCATTTTAATCTCGTGTTTGTTGGAGAGCGTCTCATCAACTTTCAACCAAAAAAATACTTATCGTGCATTTTAAGCAAGGGTTTATGCAACAACTTAGAAAAACTAACGGTAAGTACTCTATAAACTTATTTTTACAACGTTAGATCCTTTAAATCGTAAGATAATGTAATAGTTACATTAGTCTCAATTTACCGCGTTGTATACTGTATGTTGTTGTGCGCAATACCGCGCTGGCTATTGTGTCTAGTTATTTTAGTTACAATAGCCCCTTTGTGTTTGTATAAAAATAAATATGCTAGTGATATCGAATGTCAATAATAAATCGATACAGTTACAGCACGATCTGAATGCATTCGGGAGCTGAGTAAATTGCTTAAATAAAGGGTAATGCATTGCACTGCCCCCACCGTAATACTCTATCGTTTTTTTATCATTTTTTTTTTTGTTTAAAAGTGTGTTCTCATTTATTTCACTTGTTTTAGATGGTCCGAAATTATATTAAGAAAAAAGAAAAGAGCTATTCAAAAGAAAAGCTTCTCGAGGCACTCGAGTTAGTTAAAAACAAAACGTTAAATAGCTACGAGGCAGCAAAAAACTTTAATATTCCGAGATCTACTATAATTTCGCATTTATATGGCACACGTGGCCAGAAGCAGGTGAATGCTGGAATGAAGACAGTATTTTCAATTGATATTGAGTACAAGATAGCTTCGTATCTGCATACTTTAGAAAAGTATGGCTTTCCTCTAACTAAAAAGGAAGTTAAAACATTGGTTTCGGAATACGTTGTAAGAAATGGGTGGATAACTCCATTTAAGGATAATATTCCTGGAGATGATTGGTTTCAGCGCTTTTGCAAAAGAAATAATCTATCATTAAAAAAACCACAGTCAGTCGAAATAGCTAGAAGGAAAGCTTGCAACCCGTTCACCGTATATGAATACTTTGATTTATTGGAAAATGCCATAAATGATTTGGATCTGGCCGAGAAACCTGAGTGCATCTATAATCTAGATGAAACCAGTTTTTGCAACGATCCTTCCAAGAGTAAAGTGCTTGGCCAAAGAGGGTATAGTTCTACTAGGACAACTAGCTCCCCCGGCCGTAATAACACAACTGTCCTATTGGCAACTAATGCACGCGGCGATAAAGTCCCACCACTCATAATTTTTCAAGGAAAATACTTGTGGAACGAGTGGTGTTACAAAAATGATAGTGTGAAAACAGCATACGCTGTAAGCCAAAAGGGCTGGATGGAAACATCAATTTTCGAAAAATATTTTAAAAATGTATTTTTACCTGCGATCGGAAATGAGCGACCAGTTCTGCTAATTTATGATGACCACTCCACACATGTCGATTTAAAAGTAATCGAACTCGCCATTTCCGAAAATGTTACCATTTTGAAGTTACCCCCCGCATTCGTCACATATCCTTCAACCGCTAGATGTAAGTGGAATGAAGCCCATGAAGGATCGATGGGAAGAAGCCTTGGTTAAATGGCAAAGGCTTCATATCGGAACAAAGTTACCCAAAAGTGAGTTCGCATGAATTATTACTGAAATATGGGATGTTATGAATCCTGTTATTCTAGCCAATGGATTTAATAAAACAGGTATTTATCCCTTAAATCGGCACGTGATCCCAAAAGAAAAGTTTGATCCCTTAACTTGGTCTAGATGGGAGCAGTATGTTCAAAGTCAAACATGCGAGCAAGACAACTACGTCGAAGATGTTAGTGAAGCCATTCGAGCACCATTTGAAAAATTGGTCGACATACCTCTTAAAAACGTTCCAACTCTCGTTAGATTGGCACTTAAAACTTTAAACTCTCAACCAGACCATAAAAGCCTTACATATTGTAAAGATTCAAAACAAACGGAAAACAAGATTCAAAATAAAGAGAACATGATAAGTTACGAAAGACAACAACAGAATAATTCAATACAATATCATGAACAGAATAATAGAACTAAAAAAAATGAAATAAATAAAATACTAAGAGTTAAAAAAAGAAACAAGTACAGAAATAAGAACCTATGAAAAAAGTAAGAAAATTCAGAATGACACAGCTATAACAGGATTGAGTAACAAAACTGAAATAACTCTGGAAAAGGAAAAACAAAAAAAGAATCATGTATCCAAAGACCGTAGAAGATCCTCGTACATATAAACTACCACTTCCAAGTCCAAAAAGAAAAAAAACTTATTCAAATAACATTCAAATTGTCGGAAATTAGTTAATTCAGGCAGCAAATACCACTAACCAGATAAATGAAGACAACTTTAACGTATCATTTGAAGAACTTCTGTTAAATTCAATTGCTCGCAATGATCCTCCAAAAAATAAAAAAACGCGTGTGACAAGGGGGAGCGGAAATACTAACTTATAAGGAAGTTATTGAGAGAATGGAAAAGGAACAAGAAGAAAAAAGAGTAAAGAAAACAAAAAAAGAAAATCAACCTAAAAGAGATGAAAAAACAAAAATTGAAAAACAAAATAAAAAAGAGAGGCCTAAGAAACAATAAAATTAAAAAGAACCATGAAACTGACAGTAACAGCAGTTGTTCCTATCAATTAGATGATTCATCAGATGAAGACGCTAATACTTTTTGGGAAACCTTACTAACTACAGAACTTTCCGACGATATTGACATTAACGAAACTTGTAAGCAAGTTTCTGAAATTGCATCTACTTCGACGGAAATGGCATCTGCTTCGATAGAATTACCAGCTTCTATAGAAACTTCATCAAATTTAATGGAATTGGCAACTACGTCTAAAGATATGCCATCATTTTCGGAAGAATCTCTAGTTTCAGATGTCCCAAAAGAAGGCACTTTTGTTTTAGCGAAATTTAGTTCCACGCGGGGCAAAAAGACTTACAAATACGTATGTCGTGTACAAGAAGTCTCAGATACCAAAATTGTAGTTACAGGGCTCAAGTCATACAAACGAAAGAACACGTTTCGAATAATCGAAGATGATATCTCAATTATTGATTTCGATGACGTAGTTACTTATCTTCCACAACCAGAGAACTTAGATGCAGAATTGTTTAAGTTTCCATACAATATTGATGTGTACGAAGTATAATTTTTGTCTTGTTTGTATAAATAATAATAATTAAGGGTACACTAGTCGCTTATTCTTCCATACAAACGTAGTCCGGCGATAACTCCACTGTTTGATGGTGTACGTTCAAAATAAAAAATGATTTCAATTGGTCTCATCATTATCTAGCCCTGTATGGAAACAAAAAAGTAAAAAAAAGAGTATATTTAGAAGTTATAAGCGTCGAAAATTCCGAATTTCAACACTATTTTTAACACATCTTTGGGCGGAAATAAATACCATAAGAAGAACGAAAATTGCAAAACAGTTACCATACAGGGATAGATTAGTTGTTCAAAAATGCAAATAATTTTATTTTAAACAGATACATTCAATAGATTTTTCGTGACATCCAGACTACCAAAGGTCTGTTTATAAAATTTCGCGCGCCCGTTTTTGTTATAAAACATCTTGCCTTTCGCTACAAATTGTTTCCCCGATCAGTGGGACGGACGGAGGGGGGGTCGCAGCGCGCACTCACACATACTCACTAGGTTAGCCGCTGCTATCTATTTATGGTTGTAATACCTACATATCTACATCTTTATTTAGAAAAATTGCTTCCTTTTGTTCGTGTCCATTGCTGAAGCCGGGATGAATATAGCTGCTAAAATGTGCCCATAAGTTTGTTGAAGCACATTTAGTTAAAATTGAAAACAAGTAGGTACATAATAATGAACTTTCGATACAGATAGTACATTAGGTACTTAACTACTTTAATTTGCTAACTAACGAAAACATCTCATAGATAAGCACGATAATCGAAAATCTTAAAATTATCTATTAATTGAATTAGAATAGGTAATTTTTAGATTTTCGATAATCGTGCTTACGTATAGGAATCTCATATCCTAATATACCTATTGTTGAAATTAAAGGATTTTCTACTAGAAAAAGAAACGTGTATTTTTGGCTTTTTTGATCGATAGTAATATGTATAGGTATTTAAATCTTGTAATCTCGGAAGCTCGGAAGTCAGATTCGCACTTGGCAAAATATTTGTTTATATTTAACCTTACCTCAGACATACTCATATTTTTTTATATATAATTTACTATACTACTATATAAGCTACTACTAAAAAAATAGTAGCTTTGCTATGGTATTATAGTACCTATATTTTGGATTAGATTTAATTTATTACAGAGCCGTGGTAGCTCAGTGGTTAACGCTCGCTGTAAATATAACAGAACGCGAGTAACCCAGGTTCGATCCCCGCCGGCACCAATGAAATTGTTAATTGCAATTTTAAGTGCTGATTTACCACGTGCTCGGCGGTGAAGGAAAACATCGTGAGGAAACCTGCATGTCTGAGGAATAAGAAAAAAATATTTCCAAGACATGTGAAGTTCGTCAACACGCATTTGGGCAGCGCGGCGGACACTTCCTTCAGAAATGAGGGAAGGCCTGAGCCCAGCAGTGGGACGTATATAGGCTGTAACTTTACTTTACTTTACTTTTATTACAGAATAACCTACCTTAGATATTGGGTTATGAATACAGATAAGTACACATAGGATTTAGTTTCTAAGTTATACCTACATATTTATTCGCCTTCGTTATGAATAGCATAAACAGGTCAAGCCCCGACCAAGTAACGAATTTCTTTCTACAATCGCGCCTTTTATTTGTTTGGACTGATCACCTGACTCGTTCAGTGACGCCATTCCCATACAGTGTTTAGTTTTCAACTAGCGTTATCTATCATAAAATAAATAAAAATTTTATTCATATTTCGCTAATTGTGTCTGTACTGTGAATTTGATTTACAATCGATCTCTAAATTGTAGTTTTCTTCTAATTACTTACCTTGCCTAGACGTGTTCTTCGGACTTCTGTAAGGAAGTCTATGCTGTTAGTATTCCGTTTATATACGCTACTATTTTGATAGACGTTTGTGCTTGTCCCTGCAGTGACACAATGCCTATTGTTAATAACTTTCTAAGTACTAAGAGAATATTTCAAACCGCTATTGAACACAAACAATCAATAAACAATTTACAAACTAACACTTTTTTTATTTAATTTACCTAAGTATATAAAAGCCACACTCACATCAAAATCGCGCTGTCGAAAAAGCAGTTATCCTGACACTGGCTGACATATACTTCGGGGTCGGGGAGTTGCCTGCGGGCTATTATAGCTAACTAGCTATGGAAAGTAAATACCTATTTAGAATACATAGTACCTACAGTAATATTTGCATAACCTACAGTAAAATACAAAAACATACAGAAAACATAATTATGTTACACTTTTTTGTGTTTGTTTTAGAAATTGTTATTTTTTTTTTCAAAAAAATTTTTTATGTTACCGTTTTTAGTTTAGAGTTATGTCCCTTTAGTGGGTACAAGCGTGATATTATATTGTGTGATTGCGTAAAGAATGCATAGATAGGCGATAGCAGCAATCGCGGTTGATTTGCTGTCATTTATTGAAGAGTGCCCCCGATTTCTCCAAGATCCCATCATCAGATCCTGATCTGATCATCGTCGATTACCGTGGAATTATCTGGAAAATATATCCAAATCGGTTCAGGCATATTCGAGAAATCGGTGGACAGAACATACATAAACAAAAACCAACGAATTGAGAACCACCTCCTTTTTTTCGAAGTCGGTTAAAAAGTAGGTAAAAACAAATCAATGGAATTATTATATAATAACAACATCTACTTAAGTTCACATAAGAACTTTCATCATAACAACTAAGCACATAAATTGGGTTCATAATAATTACGTTTCACACAGCAGATTCTAAGTTACAATAACACCAATTTGCTTTCTCTCTCCTTTCTCTTTTTAAAATACGTTATCCCCGATTTTCTCCAGTATCGTGGAGGCAGTTTACAAATATAAATTGCATAAGAACAAACATCCAGACCCGGAACAACTATTTGTAATCCATACAAAATATTTGTTCCGTGGGGGATTCGAACCCGCGGCACTCAGCGCAGCTACTCATTGCTAAGCTATTGCGGCACGAAGTTCACAATTGCCGTTTGAGTTTATGTTATTATTCTAAAAGGAAACGCATAGGTACCTAGGTACGCGATGATGCCGTCGTGCATTGCGTCACTCGAGTGCGTATGTGTGCGCGCACTAGCTTCTTACTGCTCATCACAGCGTCTATCCCTTTCGCACGAGATGTCGGCTGAGATAGCATGCATTTTTGCCCCGCCCACCACTTAGTTCGTGCCATCGACTAGGGCAACCTTAAGCATAAAGTCTAAATTAAACTTTTTAGTAAAAATGTGCCATTGATTGAAACACGACGTGATGTTAAGCTGAAGTATGTTGTTTTATATCTTTTTTTTTATCAATTAAGCAAAATGTTCTCATAGGAAAATTTGATAAATATTTTTCATTGATTTAGTATTTAATTTAATTAAGTTCATAGTCCTCATAAATAAATGTGATAAATATGTGCAATTGATTTAAAAGTGAAGTGATTTGGTTTGATTTAGTATTATATTAAGTATAATATTCTTGTATTTAAACATTAAAAATTTGATTAATATGTGCCATTGATTGAAACACAGTGATGATTACTAACTGCTAATGCGTATGTTATTTTTACATCTGTTTTTTTTCCAAATTATTCATACCAAAAGTCCTCTAAAAATGTGATTAATATGCTCCATTGATTGAAACACAAAGTGATGTTAAGCTAAAGTAGTTATTTTTATATCTGTTTTTTCAATTAAGCATAAAGTCCTCATAGGAAAATTTGATAAATATTTTCCGTTGAAATTTTTTATCCTCTTATAAGATGTGATTTATATGTGCCGTTGATTTAGTATAAAGTGAAGTCAAATAAATATAAATTAAAAACAATGCATAGTTTTATTTCACTTAGTCACCCATCATATTATCGATTACCTACACTTTTTTACAATTTGTCGATATTTTTTACGCCAACACAGCACTAATCCTATAGAAAATAGTCACATTAGCCCCCAAAAATACAAAATATACTTTTAGTCGTATCAGGGCTTGACCGGTGCAACTTAGAGATCATTTTTGCGACACAAAAACGAATAAGTTATTTTAAACAGTTGCATTTACCCCAACATGGGGCTAATGCGACTTTTTCTGCCGGCATGGGTTAATATTAAGATTTTGTGTAAATCTTACAGCTTTTTGACATTATTATAGGTCGATACGAATCTCCGTTATATGCCTTCTTAATCTTATAGTTTCAATATATCAATCCAATAAAATAAGGTGGACATTTTTAGCAAAAGGTAAAAATTTTATTTTTTTTAGTTGCAATAGCCTCCATTGACCTTATTAATATAGTAATAAAATATTCATTTATTGCGCTGTTTTACATGTAAAAGAATAATTATTGTCTATATAATACAAACAAATTTATAAATACATGTACTAATGTTGTAATACAAAACCCAAAAGTGCCCAACGTGGCTACTGAAGTTTTCACTTCAAAAAAAGTAATAATAATATTTTAGCGACATTTTTGTAAAATGGGAGTTTTTTTATATAAGTCTAACGTTCATGTAGGTACATAACCGTCTAACTTCAACTAATCGTGAACACCATCTTATAAACTAAATCTCTCGTGCACACAATATTTTTAAATAAATTATTGAACTACCTACTTTAAAACAACGCAAACTTATGACGAGTTTTGAAGGAGGAAAGCGAACGGAAATCAGGTACAAAGAATTTAAGTTCTTTAAAATAACAGAAGGGTCAAACAATGGTCAAAGTGTAACTTTTACAAAACAATATGTTTTGAAGGAACGGTTTCTAAGTGCTCAATAAAGTGCTTAATCTAATGTATCACAACTCGAGGCACTTGTGGACTTAAAAATTAACTTAAATTAACTTAACCTAAGTCAGAAGATGGATTTTTTTGCAAACACTATAATTATATATGTAGTCTGTAAAATCTGTAGTCGTCTACTGCATAAAAATAAGATTTAAAATACCATTTTATTATTTCACAACCAGTCTTAG